TTTATGCGATTTATGATAAATTCAACACATTTTTTTTTCAATTGTGTACTTGAAAATAAATGAATCAGAATTTTCTGGTTCATTTATTTTCAAATTTATTAGCATTCTAATTGAGATAACCGGAATTCTGATACAATATTTCTGGTAAAATCTACTAGAATTCTTATTTTTACCAAAATAATTATATCAATCAGAATTTTAATAATCTCAACTAGAATTTTAATAGATTTAAACAGAAAATTCTGATTCGTCTATTTTTCCAACGGAATTACTATTTAATCCAACCAGACCATTTTTTTCCATCTATACATTTTCCATCGAAAGAAATAAAGACGAACTAAATTTAATTAAATGAACAATTTTTCCTCAGTGTAAAAATGGCCCTCTAAAAATGATCTTTAATAAAGGCTGCGCATTATTGAACTACACCATGTCGATATTGTAGACCCTTTTCAAAGTATACGATCGTGTTCGCCATTATACTCACAAACGCAAGCGCATCGCGTCTCGTATTCACCATCACATCTCGTGTCATGCATATTTTCTCTCTCCCGCATCCCGTATTCTTTTCACATTTCTCGAACATTGTTATTAAGCAATATCCGGACCATCAGTCATTAAGTCTGTTTTTTATAGCTGTATACAGTCTTCGTACTTAATTGTATTTTGTAACTAGTGTACATTCAGGATTGCCATAGAAAATGAATTTTGAAATTCCCTGACTTTTCCAGGTTTTCCAAATGAAAATGGAAAATTTTCCATGACTAATTGTAAGAAGCTAGTCTACATTATTAAAAACAACGCAAAAAAATCTTAGTAGCATAGTAAAATTTTGAGTGCAAATTCAAGCCAGCAAAAAATAAATTAGTTTTGGAAAAAAGAATGCAATTAAAAGAAGACGAAAAAGAAGAATCAAATAAAAATAATATATGAATTTTAATTATTTTATTAAAATCGTCTAAAGTGCACAAGTTTTGAACGTATTTGACTAAACATCAGATATATTTAAAAAATTACAACTATTACTTGTAATGTGTTGTTGATGCAGTTTAAGGAAATTGCAAGCAAATTTCGAAATTCCATACTTTTTTACATTTTCCCCTGATTTTTTCCGGTTTTCCATGATCAATTTCAATTTCTCTGACTTTTCCCAATTTTCCAGGTCTGTGGCAACATCGATATTCTTTGTATTTAAAATGAAATAAGTATAAGTACTTTCTAAAATTGTTGAAGTAGAACCTAATTCTAAAGAATGACAATTGAGCCAATGTTGAAAAAGAGTGACTCAATTGTCAATTTTTAAAAGCGAGATTTCATTCTTTAAAGTTACATTCCACTCCAAAGATTGTAAAGAGTGCGTTTAATATTTGACAAAAGCGAGAAGAAAAGTTCTAATGCAATCCAGTGCAGCAATAAAAAACAATATGACTCTATCAATTTTTATTTATATGGCATTTAATCTTTTATTATGTTTAATTAAATTCTAGTATTTTGGTAAACCATACGTGACTGAAGAAAACTTCATAAAGTCAAAATTAGTTTTGTTCAATTTTTAATATACCTAACACATTATTAATACAATTAATAATTTATATCCTTTATTATTAGTTTGCCGTCTCCCAATGGAGTGTATGACATGAATAAAAACACACCTAATCTATTTGCAGGACCTCGTATCATCGGAAATTCCATTTCGATAATATTTAGAAGTGGTATTTTGCAGAACGAGGACATTCAACGAATTTTTCGACAGAAATGCACAGCAATTCCGTTTCGGAAGTCGGTCAAGCGTCGGAGTAAGTTAAGCGTCGTCGTCGTTATCGTTGAGCAAATATTGATTCGAGTTGTTTCGAGTTGTTTGACGTTGTCAACTGAAATCGCACACTACTCTGCAATTAACTAGTCTGTTATCGAACGGCTGGGAAACTCGAGGGGTTAATTAGGGGTGATAAACCCGCAACTGTGGTTCCATGGCGCTCGCGCGCGTGCTTCAACCAGTCGATAAATTTCGATCGTCCGCAATTCTCATCGTCCCGAGCATTGTCGGTGCGTCACACCGTCACGCATTGTTGTATCACCCGCGTAATAATTCGTGCGGTAAACAGACCGCTCGGCCAGCCTTTCGCGTGGCAATTTTGCAGAAAATTGCGACCTATTCAAGCCGCGTTTTAACAATCTGTACAACGTTCCGTTCGCGTCTATGTATAAATTACGGGAAAGAACCTTCCCTTTCCACCGTTCGAAAAAGGGCAAAGAAAATAGAATTCCGGACAATTGCGCGCATCGTACCCGCGCGGAATAATAAACAACCCGTTCAATCTTTATCTCCCCGACGATGAGAAAGCCGGCGATCAGAGAGAGCCGCACGTTTTCTGGCAGCGAGACGGAATCCTCGATGACACGATAAAAAAAAAAAAAAGAGAGACCGTGCTGGAATTCCCGTTCAAAATCAATAAAGTTACTCCTACCAACCCCCGCGGAATCGAAATAAAACGACTTGGCGATGTCGCCGAGTGGCGGTGCCGTGTCTTCCCCCGTTCGAGGGAGAAGTGGAGGTAAAGAAGATCTCCTGACTCTCTCGCGTCGGTTGCTTTTATTATAAAATACGAAGGGCAATTTTCGTGTTTTTCTTCATGCGAATCGCATCAAATTATTCAGGTATATAAATTTTGATTGATTGCCAAACAAAACCATCGGTTCGGATTTTTTCTCAATTGCGCTTTTTTTTTTTCGTCTCGACTTAAAAATCTCTTAAAAAGTTTAAAGCTCGCTGTACATAAAATGTAAAATGAATAAACATTTTTCCCGATTGATTATAAAAGCTCGTTGAGTTCCCTTTTTGATATAACATCGTGTTACGAAATCCGATTGTTCCAACTCTCCCTCCCTCTCAAGCAATACGTTTAAATGTATTATCTGACGAGGCAGTTAACTAAACTCTAATAGACTAATTATCTCGGCTGCTCTTCACCGGGGAGGCTGACGAAATTACGAATAAGTTTTCAGCAAATTACCAAACAACATTATTCCGCGCGTTGCGCGAATATACAGACGCTACATGGAATTTGTTAAATTCGCTTGCAACCGAATAATAATGGCAATAGTGGGAGAAATACAGTAAATACAGTAAATAAAATTCTCGCGGGTTAACGTGCTCTGATTAATTAACCGGTGTGCACCACTGCAACAGTATACCAATTAAAACCCAAAAAGGTTAGGTAAAGGGAAATAACGTTTTATTTAAAACATTTTTATTTATTATGTTGTAATTTCACTTTACATATGATTACTGTTTTATGCATGATTATTGTTCCATTTGATTTCATCGTGTTAATAATTGAACTATCGAGGAAAATAATTCAAGGTAACAAAAAGTTACACAAATTTAATTAACTGCAAAATAACACGCAGGGTTGCCACAGAAAATAAATTTTAAAATTCCCTGACTTTTCCAGATTTTCTAGATAAAAATGGAAAATTTTCTAATATAAAATATGTAAATTTTAACACATTTAAAGTCAAGAATTGTGAAGGAAAGCTAGCATATATTATTAAAAACAATGCAAAAAAGGTTAGTAGCACATAAAATTTTGAGTGCAAATTCAAGTCAACAAAAAATTAATTAGTATTGGAAAAAAGAATGCAGTTATGAAGAAAGACGATCAAATACAAATACTGAATGAAATATAAATTTCAATTATTTTATTAGTTTAAAGTACGTGAGTAGTGAGTTTGAACGTATTTCACTATAAACGTCAGATATAATATTAAAAAATTATAACAATTATCTAGAATAGAAGCAATTTAAGGAAATTATGAGCAAATTTCAAAATTCCAAACTTTTTTACACTTTCCTCTGACTTTTCCCAATTTTCCGGGTTTTCCAAGTCAATCCTGAACACGGTATCCCAAAACAACGCGCTACCGTTATTTTCCGAATTTATCACTGACTTTTCAAATATTTTAAATTAGTTGAGCCAAAAAAAAAGGAAAAAGTAACGGCGTTCCAACTCGAGCACTCGTTGATTCGAGACGAGACAAAAGCTCGGTCGGTCGGTCGGTCGACTATATTCGGTTTTGTTTCTCGTGAACGCGAAAACGTAACAAGCCACTTGGCCACGTTGCATATTTCAGAATAGGCCAACTAGTCAGCCAGACAGTGTGCCAAGTCCTTCACTGGAAAATCCGGACGAGTATAGTGTTCGTTATATAAAATCCAAACCACAATGTCAGAGATCGCTAATTAAAGAGGACTTAATTGTCGTTCCATCAAGCTACGTCGCTTTGTTGCCATTTCCAGAAGAGAGAGGAACAAAACAATCTTCTCTCTCGATACAAATCTTTAAATACCAATAATTTGTGTATCCTTCGCAGCGAAAATATATGCGATATCCGAAGTATCTATCCGAGAAATTTTCGTTTCAATATACGAGTCGCGAAAGTTCCCTCGTGCCCATAATTAAACTGAGAGAGTTTAAATACATCATACACAAGCTCACCTCAAAGTTTCGAGCTCTCTGTCTCTCACTTCGTTAATAAGTTAATACACGCTTTAAAGTCCATAAACCGATCTCAGTGTTTGCATGCACGGAGGCAAAACTTGGCGATCGCCGGTGAATTGTTAATAAAATAAAAGCACCGTGAGAGCCCCGCCGAAGGATGGGCTGGATTTACCTCCAAGCTGTTGGCGTCACTACTTTGATGTTGTTGATCAATTGATAAATTAAATATCCGATACTGGATAAGCTGGCATATAGTTTGAAAATATAAAAGCATTTCAGCGACAAGAACAGAATATCTTTTGTTCTTGCTCAGGTTCTCTTCATTCTTACGTTCTCATATCCGTGTCATTTTGTATTTCCAATGCGCCAATTCTTTCACGCAAAATTATATAAACGCAATAACATGCCGTAAAATTGCGTCAACTGTTTTCGCCAAGAAAAACGCGTTATGTCATCTTTAATCATAATTGTCATAATTGTCGAGAATGAATGACTCACCTCACGGAGTTCCTTGATTTTCAGGCCTGCTTTGCCGATGATGCATCCCGCTTGACTCTGATGCACCAGCATGCGCACGTCGATCTCGTCGCTGCCATGGCGGGAACCATTCTGAAATCGTGTCTACAATAAATCGTGGAAATTTGGAATACGCTACGTCTATGGCAGAAAGAATCGATCGTCGCGATCCCGAACTGGATTAAGAGGAGCATGAAAGCGCGCGGAATCGCATACAAACGATTCGAAAGAGACAGATAAAGCATGTTCACGATGTTAGAAATCGTTTCGAGATCTCGGACAGAGAATGAATCGATCAAATCACAATTGGTCAAATAGCCGAATTGTTCAAATGTTATTTCTTTCTCTGACCGAGATCTCGGAGCGATTTCTAGCATACGTGTACTCTAAAAAATATCCATGTGGATTTAATATCATTCTTTATAATTCTCATCTCTCGCTAATAATTAGTGTTTATATCAACACCATCATGGTGTGTTTAGAACCCATTTGGTATTAAATCCGCATGATGATGTTAATATTAATACCAACACAGTGAGAATCATACAAGGTGCTTTCCACTTGATGAGACAAGTCGACACAAGTCGACACAAGCATCGTTCTATTCTTCGTGACATTCAGAGAGTGACAAAGATAAAACGATACTCGTGTCGACTAGCGTCATCAAATGGAAAGCACCCATAGACATCCATGGTGTTAAATTCACCTCGATATTTTTTAGAATGCAGATGTACAAGGCTTTAGAACAGGAGTCCAGCGCTTACCTCCTCCAGATTAGGTACGACCTCGTTCAACACTTGCAAAACAGTGGGTAGGTCCGAGCTGATGGTGAGCACCCTAGAATCAGAAGGACTCCCAGAATTACACTGATCTTACCGCTGCGTGATTTCGCGTACGTGCTATATCGACCATACAACCCGGTGCGAATGGCGTACGTGCGTACGAGAAACGCGTTCGCGTGTGATTACATCAACCAGCGATGCCACCCCCTCCCCTCCTCCATTTTTCTCGCGGGTATTTCGGCGTCACCCGTTAGAGCGCTTCGAACGGAGCCAAAGTGAGTGAGGCATCGGATGAAATTCCAACGCGTCCCCCCAATGGAGCAGAAAGTAATTAAATGCGCACAGATCGATCGGAGCTGGATGTATGTACGGTGCATCGCATTTGGTCTCAGCGACGTTTACGAATGTTTATCGTATCCCGAGCGTCTCTACTCCGTCGAGACGTTGCACTCGAATCCGAGAATTATACCGGCAACGCGGACCGTCAATGGCACGCAACGTCGCGCACGATGATAACGCATTGCGTATTAAAACCTGATACAAATTTAACCGATATTCGTCGCCGGTGCGCGCGACTAATAAATGCTGTTGCGATACAAGATTGATTTTGAACGCGGACGCGCAACCACCGAGTGGTTAACACCTTTCTCTATCAAGCAACTGTTGAACACGCATAGTAGATTTCCGGATAAATGAACTTTATCGAAGCGTCTCCATAAATCTTTAACCGCGCGATAAATCCGGACCATTCCGAGGACACCTCGCAACGTTTCGCGAAAATTACGAGTATTACGAGGGCGGCGTTAAGGGAATTCAAATTTACTACGTTACTCGTGGTAAATTCGGCGCCTTCGAACACGACGCGTATTCTTTCCAGCAAATTCCGCCACGTATGTATAATACAAGAATCGTCGATGCAGCTTGCGAGAACTATGTAGAATCGCGTGCAATCGCGGCCACGGCGATCGACCGTAAGCTCGGACTAGATTCGGCCTCACGGTATTTTCCCGACCTACATCCATTCAGCTGCAATCGTACCGTACGATCGGAATGATCGCGTTTATGGTCGTCCCCACCGGGGCGAATTACACGTCGCGGAAAACGCTCGCAGTAATACGCACGCGGTATCAATTCCGTCGATAGTGATCGATATCGAGGTGCTTCCTTTCCGGCCGAATCGTCGCCGCTCGGCGACGAGAAAACGGCGATATACAGGAACGGGGAAATCCCGAACATCGTCTCCATTCTCTTTTTAAATCATCCTCCATATAAACACGAAAAGAACGTGATTTTCCTGAGTATCTAAAATTTAGCTAGAGACAGTTCTAAAAATAATTTTGTCGAGTATCATAATTAATACGTAAAACGTCATACCGTTAAATATCAAATTATACCCAATTCGAGTTATTTTTAATCATTTCTATAAGTCACCACCGCTTCTACTTAAAGGGTCGTTAATTTAATTAAAATCATGGAGTTAAACAAATGTAACTTAAGAAGTGTATTAAATTTGACTCAAATTTAGTTAATTATTTACCAAGTGCATATATATTAACATGAACATTATATTTACTTTGACGTTATTTAGTTTCACTTACTAACTAATTTAATTATATATAGAAATGATTGATCTATATTTTATCAAATATGAAGTTACGAATGATAAAATGTTATTAAAAAGATCTGACAGTCTAGCGACCAATTCGAGCGTCCTATATTGACAATCTAACAAAATTATTTCCACATCTGTATCTATGTAAATGTTTAGATACTTGGCAAAATTATTCTTTCTGTGTACAATTTATTTCAGCGATCCGAAAGTTTCAAAGTCGCTGCACTTCTGCAAAGTTGGTAATTCATTTCTCTCAAATTACGATAATTGCCATGGAAGATATGAAGTTGATTGACGATTTACTTGTTTTCTCCCCTTCTATTGGTATTCAATACGTTCAAAGTTTTGAAAAGGGAGACGATGGTATTCGGATATCCCTTCTCCCTACGGCTTTAAGAAGCGCACCGAGAATTCCCGTTATCATCTCTCACGATCGAGAACAAACACGGAACTTTTCGGAACGACGACCGGCACGAATCCACCCCCCAGCTAATATGAGGGAATGGACGGAGAGGTCGGTCTCTCCTTTCATCTTTTCGCCCTTCCTCCTCGCTTCCCGTCGTCCACTTCCGTTCTACTTCCCTGCTATAACGAGCTGAAGCCACGTATCTTCCATTCGACTGGCTATACGTATCATAGAAATTCCGCATGCGCTCTTTTGAACATTTTACCGGTTCTGCGAGGAGAAGCATTCAGCTGTTGACTTAATCCACGATTAATCACGCTCTTTTCGAAAAAAAAAAAAAAAAATCGCTTCCTTGCACTTTGGCTAACTTCGTTTCCGCAACCCTACGTATTTGAAGACGCAAATGTTACGTGTTAATTTGTTATTTATTACGTGCGCTCCTAGGAATATTCTAGTCGGCAGATTGGCGAAAGCTGCCATCACCCGTTATGAGTTTTCCTACTTAACCCAGTTTGAGGACAAAACAGGACGGTTACACTGATCAACATCGATCGGTTGGAGAAAATGGCGATCCCGATTAAAGGGAGTCGAGATTGAGATATTTGATGTAAGTTGATCGGTGCGGTACTTTCTAGAAAAGTAACGATGGATCACGACGTTATTCATGGTGAGGACAGCTACGGGGTTGGCTGGTCGAAAGTCATCCCTTCGAGAACCGCAGAAGACGAGCACATTGAGATTCGCGGACGGCGAGTTTAAATTGCTATGTTTGCTGCTGCTCTACGACAGCGATGGAAAGAAAGAGAACACTATCGGCAGTTAAAAATCTTCATGGCGCATAAAACTTTGAAGAGCGCTCGAACAATTCTAAGGTTTGATGACTGAACTTTAAGGGGATGCTGGAATTTCTTTCGTGTTTTATAAAATGTGATTAATTTTCAGATTCTCCAATCTTTTAATTGCGTTTACACAGATTTAAAAATCCTTCTTCACAATTAAAGTATATAGACAAAAAAAATGACAGACAATTTCATACAAAAAAAAAAACAAAAAGAAAAATTATAATCTTATCATCGGTTTCTGTAATCGATTCGTGACAACATGTGTTGCATACAAGAGTTTTAAATTTTGTACGTTTGAAATAAGCTTAGATCGCATTAGAGATTATATGAAAAAATAATACACTGAGAAAAATGGTCTGGTTGAATTAAATAGTAGTTCTGGTGCAAAATGGACGAATCAGAATTTTCTGGTTAAGTCTACTAGAATTCTAGTTGAGATAGAATTCTGATTGATATAAATAGTATAATAGATTTTACCAGAAATATTATATCAATCAGAATTCTTGTTACCTCAACTAGAATCCTAATAAATTTAACTAAAAAATTCTGCGTCGTCCATTTTCAACTAGAAATTGTTTTCAGTATGTGTGTTTGTAGAAATAAGTTAGAGGCCTTAATATAAAAGAAAAGAGAATCTCAAAATTTCATTTGTATGCTACGAGTGAAATCGATGTGAATAGTAAAATAAAGCAATAATTGTGTCTAGCAGGAAGTTCCAGATTTTGCAAAAGATGATGTCGCAATATATAATATTAAAAGATAAAGACAGATGTACGCGTTTGAACGAAACAGAACGATAATGTAAGAAACTGAGTTTGGAGTTAAAGTCTGTATTATCGATATCGATCAATCGTCGCTCCAGCATTCCCTTAAAGGCCGCGATACAGAAAGCGTAGAATAAACATATCTGAAGACTTCAACCATCTACGCGTGTCACGATATATCACCTCGTCGACAGCAATCGAGTGACAATAAAAGAAGCATTTAAACGAGCCGTTAATTATTGACTTGAGACTTCTGAAACTTTCTCAAAGGTTTACTTTCATCCACCCGATTGACATTGTATGACTCGAGAATAGATCGCGCGAATTGTTCGTTCTCGACTTCAAGATACTTTATTACGTACAAGCAAAATTCCCAGCCGTATCGGTACAGTCGCGAATGAAAATCGCATTAAGGACATCCTCGAGGAGCTTCACCGTCGGTGATAAAAAAATTTATTGCCGTCCCAGGACGAAGATAAATTTTCCGTTAATACTTGCGTTCGTGCGCGAGCGACATAATTTTTAGAATAAGAGAAACCGACACCGAACGTACGGCTCGAGGCATATATAACGTAATCATCGATAATCAATCGCGATAAAGTAGATGATTGAATGTAACAACCGGTCCAGAAATTATCATTAAAAATATCTCTTCGACGGGATTCGCATAAACGTATGAAACGAATGAACGCGCGGCACTGATCTTCACAGGGTGAAGTGTCGGTAATGACTTTCGACTTGGCAAGTTAATTAATCACGTTAGAGTATTTCCAGTGGGACAATCACTTATCGGGGCGGAATCGGTTTGAATCGTGAACAGAATAACGTTCTTGAATTTGTTAACTAAGACTGTCCGAAATTTAGCTCTCGCTTTATGTCTTTGATGCCGGTTGAAATGAAACGAAGACACTTCACGACGGTTCTCGTTCGAGAGCATTATTTGAGAGGTTTACAGTTGGCTTTTCAACGCGATAACAACGCCTTGAATCGTAACCTTTTAACACTGAGCCAGCCTTACGGCCGCGTGCGTCACATATCACACATTAGCTTCCGTGTTAGCCACATGTTACAGACACCGTTTAGAACATATCCCGACTTGTGTGTATAAACGTGTGTGGGTGTCGAGTGATCGCGCACGTCTTTTTGCGTGGCACTTAACGCAGGAGAAAACCAACAAATAACAAATTAAACCAGAAAGGGAAGGTGTGAAAGAGAAAAAGAAGTGAGCTTAGAGGATCAGCGAAATTTTCAGGATACGCTGATCGTACGTAAAATACTGCACAAATCTGTTGCACGCGCGAATAATGTTTACATATTCGAAAATTCAAAATAAAAATTAAAATTAAAAAAAAAAAGAATTCGCGAAATATATTCTTCTACGTGTCCTCGCATCACATAATTCCTGTAACATTCGCAACGATGAATTGAACTACGATCTAATGGCGAAATTTGCGAATGCACGTTTTTTTTTTCCGTTGCGAGATTAAAGAGAGAACAAGATCGAATAAATCGAATAAATCGGTTTGTAAATCGAGTTAAATCAGACCGCGTGCCAACGACAGGTGCAGCACGTGCTGCTTTCGCTTGTGAGACCGCCGATTTTTCACCCAAAGCCGAAGCCGAAGCCGCGCAAGGAGCCGCTCTTGAGAGAACGCTTAAATCTAATAGCATATCGACTTTCCAGTGTCGATATCGTTCGCGTATTATAAGAAATAGAAATATTTTTACAGGAAGTTAAATTTGAAAAACGATTATTGCGTATATCGTATCGTTCTGAAATGTTCCTCTGTACTTTCAATATATTTCATGCGATGAGATAGTCAAGAGGACACGCACAAGAGACAAAAGATTATGAAAAACGAGAGAGAGAGAGAGAGAGAAAAAGAAACGGCGAGAGAGACGAAAGTAGACGACGGAAGTGTTGGCTAAATGATCGTCGCGTTAACACATAATATGCCGATAAAATAAAAAGATGGTGTCACACGGAAAAAACAGATCGATTAACAGAAATAAGACAGATGGACGGACAGACAGATAGAAAGACAGATTTCTAGGCAGAGATAAACAGATAATTAGATAGATAGATAGATAGATAGATAGATAGATAGAAGAGAAAGAGAGAAAGAGAGAAGAGTAAGTAGAGTAGTAATAGCACGACAGATTACGAAAGGTGGAAATAGTAGTGGTGTATACAGAAAAAAGATTCGCTGCTCTCGCCGCAGGCGTCTTAACAGGTACCTCGTAATTAGAGACAAAGAAAAATAAGAACATTAAGTAGTTGGTGTTGGTCATTACCGTTCGGGTCCGGGGCAATCGGGTACAATGATTGAGGCTTTGTACTGTCGATTGGGCCGTGATGGTTGGTGGTTGGTTCATTGGTGGTTGGTTGGTGGTTGTTGTCGATTGTTGGTAGGGTCGTGGTGGTCCATTTGCCGATCGAGTCGGGGTCCGTCGTTCCGGGCAGGGCAACGGCAGGGCAACGGCAGGGCAACGCCAGGGGGGCAACGCCGGGGTTGGGGCGGGGCCAGGGCACAAACCATCAACCAAGTTAGACATCACGTCTGACGGCTGGATTAATTCGCGGCTTAACCTCCTAACCCGATTTTTCCACCCGCGCGCTCCTCCGCTCTCTCCACCTCCACGTCCATCCCCTAACCCTTTCTCCCTCCCTTACCGCCATCGGATCGGCCACGAGAGGGCAAGAAAAATATTGGCATGGAAAAAAATGAGGTCGAGCAACGTGAACGAATTGCGTGAGAACGGACACCTTGTACCAATGCTAATGCAATACTATGCACGCGCGTGTTTCTTTTTTACGCACGATAGCTAAGCCTACGACTATTCGATTTAAACTTTAAGTCCGATGAGAAAGTCTTGCTAATTCTTTTTACGTTCGTAATACAATTGGCAGAGTTACGAAAATTCGCAAAGTTACTTAGAGAGCTAAGACACCGCGGCTTTTCTCTTCAAGAAAGTGCTTAGTCAACCAGACGCGTACTCTTCGTATCATCTTCGCAAAGACTACGACGCGGCCAGCCAGTATCATCGTCCTCTTCCATCTCTTTTCCTCTCTCCCGAAAGTCGTTAAGAATTCCGAAGACGTACTCGAATAATTTTCCTGTCCCGGCGCGGCGCTTAATTGACGTCGCTCTACGGCGGTCCGGAGGAATATTTCAATTGCTAACGAAGTGCGCTAAACGAGCGTTAATCAAGCAAGTTATTAATCTTTGAACGAAGAGGTCTATCAACTATCCCGGTAATAAGTGTAACTTGCGGGAAACGTGCCCGGCACGTAACTGATAACCGTGCGGAAAAGTTTTATCGACGCGAGCCTGAAACTTTCGTGACGAAGCGTGGACGCCACGATAGACGACACTGCGAGTTTGCGCGAATGAAAATAACTTTGCCGTCCATTCGCGATCTCGTGTCTCCCCAGAAAATAATTATTATCTATCGATACCCGATATATAATTCATCCGTCCAATTAAAGTTATTTCCATGCACGATTCTCCAATATTTTTCTGCACACGACCGAGGCAGTGAAGCTGCTTTTAACGTCAAGCTTTCTGTCAAGCTTTCTGTCGCCCATGGAAGTTTGCCGTAGCCACGTTTCCACGTTTCGAACGATGGAAACTCCACAAAGCGGCGAGAGGACTTTCGTGTAAAGAAGGTCCCGTAGAAAGTTGCCAGGAAGGCAACGCGAACTAAAAGTGAATCGCTAAGAGATCCTCTCCGGTGGTTCCCTCGGATACAGCACTCGGGAATAACGACCAGAGCATTGTGCCATTTACCAGGCAAAGTGAACTTGAGACTAGAACTTCCGATATCTCCCGGCAAGGCCGGTATTAAATGATCCTTTCAAGCTATCAGAACTAATTGAATATCCGTTATTATACCGATAATCGTGCCGCTCCATTTGTTCCATCCGGTGTAATTTACATTGATTAAAAACAAGACTTGACTAATAATGCAGATGATGAATCGATTTATTATATTCAAGATCTATAAAGTTATCTTACGCATTCACGTAAACGCATTCAACGCAACAGCGACTGAATCTTCGCGAATAGTCTTCAATAATAATTCGAATAGTTTACAGGCACAACTCCTCGTTAATTGCGCTTCCCTGAGTGCTGTATCCAACTTTTCCGTCTAGGGGGTACGCAGCCGCGTTGGAATCTCGCTATTCTAGCGATACCGTGATTCTACCGTCTCCGTGCTCTCTCGCGTCTCTTATCAAGACGCCAGAAGACGCAAATCACGGCGCTCATCGAGAGAAAGACGCATTCGTGTGTCGGTGCACGGAACATTCTCGATGGACCCGGACGTGCTTCGCCCGCCGGCGTATCAAAATCGTGGCGGAGGGTTTTCCGAGTGGCCGAGTGATTTGCCAAGGCACTACAAATCGTACGATTAAAGCGCGATTCTTACGCGACACCCTACGTCCCTTCCCCGAGAGTGCACTTTTAAAGATCGTAGCTTGATACGATAACTGAAATTGCACACTCAAAAATTCTCGTCGATACGCCCACTGTGATTCGGAGAGATGATTAATGCAAATAATGGAATAGTGTAAACGTATCGCGGAAAATTTATTAGCAATTACGAACGCGATACGAAACACGAAAGATACGATTACAGTGCCCCTCTCCCCTTCAGCTATTCCAGCGGAGGTGTTTTTTATCCATATTTCATCACGGAATATCGATGTTACATTTATGGTGAATTGAAATAACAGTATATGGTAAAATCGGCAGACATCTTTCTCGTTTCGTAACAAAATTCATTAGTTTCGCAGATGGTCGGTATCTGCCGATTTTGCAACGATCAATGAAATTGTGATACTTTGTTACCACATTATTTTAGATTACAGTAAACTAATTAACTAATTGACTATGAGTCAATGAATTGATTGTGAGTCACAGCGCTGATAAGATCATTCTAATGCCCGTTTCCATCAATGTACTCACAAAAAGATATCGCCATATCTACTGTTAAAAAAAAGAGATTACTTAATTTATTTTCTTCTTTTTAAGATACGATTATCTTTAACAAAGAATATTTTCTTCATTGTAATCTTAAAATATACTTACTAATTTTAGGAAAACTATAAATGTATTTTATTTTGAAGGAGATATTGTAAAATTTATCGAAAAAGCGACTTTATATAATAAACAAATTGAATTCGCTTTAATTCGATAGTCTTGATTAAATTATGAATCCTTACTAGGATTCAAAATACATTCTGAAATTTGACTTTTTACTTGTGATGAATTTCATAGATCTGCGGATATACGAACATTGGAAACGTTTAAAACAAGTAATTATTATTTACGTACAGAATGTATTTTACTGCATAGATATTAATTTTAATCTCGGTTCAATTTAATCTTAATCTTTCTCTAATTCATAAAACTGGAAACAGGAAGAAGAGCAAGTTGAATCGAGATTGAAGTTAATCAACATTGATGGAAACGAGCACAACTTATGGAATGCTGAAATGTACTGCATGTTCATGTACTCATTTGGTTCAAGCAGGGCAACGAATTAAAATCTGACAGAGAGATTCTGAACGCGTGGTCGAAACGTTATGTTACATTAACGTAAAAAATAGCGTGACACATCGATTATCGCGCAAAGACGAGAGGATTCGTCCACGTCGAGATCTCCATTGACATTCCGACGGAAGAATTCTTTCGTCATTAACCATTTACTGCATGCAGAAAATTTCGCGTGTCATTCTTAAAATATGACGCGAGGTAAATCGAAGCTAGCGACAGCCAAGGCGTTCTTGCAACTAGGAAGTATTGTAATAAATGTCTCATAAAACATTGATATGGGCTTATGGCGCGAGATACACGAGAGACGAGGAAAGCATCCCGTCTTTCGAGGAACCAAATGCATAATGAAGCTACAGATACGGAAAGCGTCTTTGGAAAACGAGACGAGTGCCTAGCGAAACAAATTCTCACGACAAAGCCTTTTGTCCGCGCGGCTCTTTACACAAATTACATGAATCTTCGCGTATCAACCCTTTACCGCTGCCATAATTACATAAACCATAATTATTTTAGTTTCAAACGAAGTTAAAAGCCTCCAAGGAGCTAAAGGGTTAATTACGTTACGGGCACTCGTGTCATCGATCCATAGACAGCGCAGAAGAAAAGTAAGCCGCGCGTTTTTTTATTAATATGGCAATCAACTTAGTCGCCGGAAAACCGGCAGGCGAAACAAAAATGACTCTCAATCAACTGAAAATCCGATATAATTAGAATTAAACATAAAAATATAAGCAGAAGATCGTAAAAACGTATCGATTTGTAGTACATAAAATGAGTGCTTCAAAACACGTTTCGGAGATCATTTTTACGATCTACCGTTTGATCGTTCGTGCGATCCTCGTCTTTCTATCTCTTTCATGTTTGCTCGTAGCAAGGAATTTCGTGAAAAGATAGACAGACAGGAACGAAACTACAGCGAAGTTACAGACGAATCAAAGCGCAAAAGCTTACCTGACTTCTGAGTTTCGTGATATTCTGACCACCCTTGCCGATTATTGAACCAGCAACCTGCAACACAAACAAGATAAAGTTTAACTTAAATAAATAACTTAATAATAAGGTTAAGTAAATACCTTCAACCTGTTAAAGATATTTTCGAAGAAAATATTGCGGTTCGAAAGAAGTGACGGTAAGTAATGCTTACAAATATTTATTGTCTAAACTTCCGTCGGAGAGATTACATGGTTAAGTATATACCTGCATATCTATATCTGGGTGGTCTTCTCAGTTTTGTTAATTACACAGTCTTTGTTAATTAAACGTATCTCTCATTGAGGGCGTGACCGGCAAGGGTAAATATTTACAATGAGCGAAAAATCTAAAAGTGAGATAATCCGCCTCGGAATATAAAGAGGATGAAATAAGGAAATTCCATTCTCCCGTCACGATGCTCGTGCATCAACATTTCGCTTTCTCCAGAATGCCCGTCCGATGCCCGCGATAAAAGAAAACCTCACGTCCACTTCTAGTTAGGCTTTTAACTTTGGACTACAGACTTCCGGCACACGTCCGATGCCCGCCGACGATCGCCAGTTTTCTCGCGAAACTGCAAGACAATTACAACTCGATATGCGATCTACGGATTTTTACGGATTAGTCACGCCGCGCACGTCTTTCGTTTTATCACGGTCGGTGCGCCACTTTTAACGACAGGCTCGCCGTGTTTCTGACAGTTAATTAAATAAACTCCACTGCGCGTCTGGCAATTAATACTTTCTCCTCCACGAGAAGGCGCGTCAAGGACGTAGAAACGCAGTAATGCAGTCATCCTTCATTCGAGAAAGCACAAATTCACGAACGGAAGGAACGATCCGTGTCGTTGGAACTCCCAGTTAGAAGATATCTTGCACACGTTCGTACGATGTGCACGCGAATTCCCGGCAAGTTTCTCCGCAAGAGCGTGACTAATTACGCGACTTCTTGCGAAGGTCGCGGGTATCTATCAGTAATATTGTACACAATGCGGTCGTCCCTGACACAAACGCCGTGTACCAATAACAGCGCGCGATGATATCGTCGATTATTACATAGCCAAGATTCGACCGCGATCAAGCGCAACGAACGCTCGTTCGTGCTCGGCTGGCTGGATCACAATAAGACGCCTTTGCGACGCCGATTAAATCGCACGCATCGGAGAGCACACCACCTCGATATAACACACACACGTCGCTCTTGTCGTCCATTACGAAATTAAAGGCGCGATCGCCGCACCAGGGCCGTTCGTGATGATGTCACGTGTCGCGGAAGGTCGAGTCTCGCTTCTCGTTTCTCGCTTCGAAAGTCGGGCAACACCCCTGACGAGAGAGCGTCAAATTCGCGCATTTTCCTGCCGTCTCATTCGTCAGAGGTGACTTATGATAATTAAAGAAAACGCAGCCGAGCTACTAACTTCCTCGTGCACCGCGCGCCGGATATCATTTCACGCGACGTTAAGTTTTTTGGGGGGGAGGGAGGGGGAGGGATGTTCGCGTGCCGATGGACGATGACGGCGCGCTTATCTGCGATTCCTCGTGACGATCAGTCATTCCTTTCAATTAAGCTTATTAGCGTGCGGGAAGCGCGAACAGTTTACGGGATTATGCTAAGGACAACATCGAACCGGCATTATTTCGATAACTGGATGACTTTCGTGTCGCGAAACTCGCGAAAATAATCTTCTAACGTGAAAGTTCAAGGTTTCCCTTATACTGTTACAAATTTCCATGAAATTTAATACACTTTTAAGTTGTGACTAAAATTTAAACTTAATTTTCAGTTAAATCATTCATTACCTTTAATTTCATTCATAACCACGAATTTCATTTAGATACATGTAAAGGAAGCTCGTGATTATGTTTCTAACAGTGTATAAAATCGGTTTTTCCCTACAAAAAGTACGATTTTTTTTATTTTGCTGAGTTATCGCGAGGATCAATAAAAAGAATTTTGAGTTTGATTACTTACTTATAAAAAAATTGTGTGTCATTGCTGCGAGCGACATAGATCGATGTCAGGTGAGACAAAAGTTCGCTACGAACTTTAAAATTCAAGCAGCTATAACTTCGTAAAAAATGAACAAAATTTAAATTTCAAAAAAGGATTTTAAAGTTCAAACTCTCCTACTCTTTCGAAAAATCACTATGTCTTTTGAGTTTCTATGAATGTGATAACTTTTATAATACATATAGAGAACTACGAGCTGGACAAAATGGAAAATTTTCTTTTCATTTTGGAAACTTGTCACATGCTCGAAAAAATCTGCGAAAATTTTCGACTTTTTAACGTCTACAACATAATTAAAACAAAATTTCTTTTGTTATTGAATTATCGCGGATTAAACAAAAAAAGTATTTTGACTTTGATCGCTCATGACTCTGACAAAAATCGTACAGCAATTTTTCTTTTATATATAAAACGAATTCTTAAAGCTAAAACTGCTTTATCGAATAGTATAATTATCAATTTAAAAAAAAACACAAACATAATACAAATAGCGCTAAGAACTTTTGTTCCAATTCAATATGAGAATATCGAAGGGAACCGAAGGAGGAAGAATTAAGATAGAAAATGTAAAATAGAAAAACTATCATTCCCTATCGGCTTGTATACAATGTTACGCGATAGAATCTTCGGTATCCTCCTCCGAAAATACATCGAACAAAGCGTAAGAAAACGAGTGGTTTACTGCTCCCTTCGATATTCTCAATGCTACAATCAATCACTGAACGAAAGGAGGTACAGATAGACCTCGATTCACGATATTACTTCTCTCTCAATGCCCTCGAAAGCGGACGACGGCGGCAGCGGTGGCTGCAATCGCGATATTCGCCTGCTGCGTCTTATTGTATCGCGGAGGAAATGGTGGTGCAAGAAAATATCCGCCCAGTCGAGAAACATCCGGTCTGACGATATATCGGCAATAAAGATGGAGAACTTACGGTGTACTCCGAGAAGCAACCATAAGAAAAGGCACGATCTGCCTTAGGCTGCACAGACGATGGACATTTGCCTCGGTCCACCGAAAAATTCCCCGAGATCTCGAAGCGTTCACGGATTCACAAAGATTTCCCGCGAGGGAAAGAAAGCAGCCGAGAGAAACCGATAACGGTTCGCCGAGCATGGCGACAATGACCGGAAGAGCCTCGGCTGTCCCGCGATGAAAAACGGACGTGTCGGAGGTGAGGTGGTACCGTGTTGCTCGTATGGGAGCAACATCGTACCGTTTTACCGCACTTTCATTCGCGTACAGATACAATGGCGAAAAGAGCCAAACCGTACGCGTGACTGGAAAATACAGTGACCCAATGGTGAAACACGTGGGAAGCACGTCCGATCTGTTCGCTCGTCGAAGAGACGAAGAAGGCATTGTCAACCATCAACATTTTCGATCGTCGACGATTGCGACCCGAGGAACGGTATAAATGCTTCCATATCGCACGTCGTGTGAATGTTAGGCCGGTTTGCCTGCACAAACCACTTGTGCAAGTTTACTTGATAAGTTTACTTGAACGTGTGTGATTAGGGGAGCTCTTAGAATCTCTTTCACCAACCATGGCTAACTTTTAATCGAGATTTAACTTAAAATAAATTAAATCTCGGTTAAAAGTTAGCCATTAGTTGTGAAACTGGGCCTAAATGAAGCCCGTGTAACTATCGATTAACCCCGAGGTTGGTGAAAGAAATCCCTTAGTCAGAAGTCGGGACAAAACAGTGTTCTCGACGAAAAACAGGCGAAAGAACGCGACTTTAAGTAGTTGCGTGACTTTAAATTTAAAACCTACTTGAGGTGATCTACAATTCGTGTTAGAGTTCAAGATAAAATTCTGTTGATAATTCTATACATCGTATATAATACAAAAAATGTTTGTAGAACATATTATATCAGAACATATTATACACAGACATAAAATATACGTGCAGAAAGAACGATTTTGCTTTAATAAAATTTTATTAATTTAATTAGATGCAGGTCTAAAAATTATTTTGTTAGAAAAAATAATTATGGACGCTTAAACTAATTTCTAAAGTGTCACAACTTTTTGCTGCATTACTCATCGCACTTGAGCTCCCTACATATTAAATTATTTCGATGGTCCAAAAACAAAATTATTTTCCTATCTGTACGTACCTAAATTGTTAACTTTATTTCGGCGCAAAATTATTCTTTCCCTGTATTAAGCACGTGAAATAACATAATAAATAAAATCAAATTAAAAATAAAATTTTATCTTACTTTAATCAGACATCAATTACAGCAGATTTTGCTGATAATTTCACGATACCGCGACATATCGATCGACGACACTCACCTTACTCGGGATGAGAAGACGGAGCTCATCGTCACCCTGTCGATAACGCTTATGAGGGCTCGTTGGACCCCCGGAACCTGTCATGGCGCCTGCCTCGGCTTCTCTCTTCATTATTCCTGAAACATACAGATAAAGAATTCTTCAGAAAAGATTCGTTTCCTCCGTTGCATCGCATCGAGAATCCCATCTGACAGACGTAAATAATAGAATAGATTTACACGGTCGGTCGGATTCGATTTTTTACAATTTCGTACGTCATCTCCGGCATAAACACATAACACGCGTTTGCCGAAATTATAATATATCGATAAATTACCACCAACGCACCACCAATATAATTGACGGTCTCGCGTGGCCAATGTGATTTCTTTGATCGGATAAGTGCAATAAAAGACGGCATATGAACGCACGTCATCTCATAAAACGGCTTTCTCACGCCAGTGGCATCATTAAGGCGAACGAGGCGATTTAACGGATGATGAATTACGATGCCGCGCACACAGTCCATAATACGTGCTAACGTATACAGATTTATGTGTCCATAATGTCCCGTGAAAAAAGGTCAATGCCTCGAAAAGTTTTTTCATTAACATAGCCAGAAATGGTATACAATGATATTATTAAGTTTACGCATACTACATACGACATGTCTCAGTGAAAAAAATACCCAGCTATTTTAAGTTGTTTTAAGCTACTCGTATAACGGCTGGTGTTACGGTTAACTGCTGATAAACGACGGCGAGAATATCTCTGGAATGATAAACTCGGCGAGATTAGAATTTAATTATTTCCTACTTTCCATTGCCGACGGCTCTTTCCATTGAGACTGTGCTTTAAAACAGAAGCGACAATTAATTCTCCGTGAGTCGCGATAACTCTTTCCTACGTGCGTCGTCGGTACTCGCGCAGGATGCGCACCACCGAAGATTCATTGCACAATTAGAGATTTAGTTCTTCCGAATGGCCGGTCGTGGGCGTGAGAATGCCGGGGCCGGCGTTAACTCCTCGATTTCTTTCCCCGAAATACGATAAAATTCCTAATACGTCGATTTTCGTTCGTTAACCTGATTAAACTTTCCCAACATCTAATAGGGTAACTCCGTTATACGCCGCACCTAAAAACTTAATTTATTAAGTATTATTTACTATGTTTAAAGTAAACGAACTATATCAGTAAAAACTTCGTACTGTCTACTACTACGAAAAAAATATTAGAAATCAAAACTATTTATATTTCGTATTAAAAAATGACCTTTTTTAAACCCATGCATTTTTGCCGTATATGCCATAAAAGTGGGATATAAAGGGTGTTTTTTTAAATCCGATAGAACTTGAAATTGTAAAAAATAAAACAAAAAATTAAATTAAACAGCCGCGGTGGCCATATGCCCGAAATCATTTTCAAATGTTAATGCGATGCATTGATCTTTCGACTAAAAAAAATTTTTTGATTATAATTTAATTTTCGTGTTAGTTTTTACAATTTTAAGTTCTATCGGGCTTAAAAAAACACCCTTCATATGGCTACTCATAAGAAAAGAGTGAGTATGTATAGCTTATAAAAAATTTACAAATATAAATAAGACACGTAAAATGACACAATAACTTATAAAATGCGTTTATAAAGTTTTATTAATAAGAATAAGAAATATGTATATGAAGTAATAAATAATAATTACAATTTTCCCAGATGTATAATATTACAAGTGTTATGACGTGAAGTACATATTTCATGTAATGCGTTTATGATATTTAATGCACTGAATTCAATCTGCGCACTTTGCATGCTTTAATCCCGCATAAATCCCGCCTGTTAAAAATGTCACATATCCCAAACAGGATATATAGGACAACAAACTAAACAAAGAATCGAAGAGCAAAGTACTTGTATTTTGTTATACAACATGCTTTACTATTCCTCTACATTCATGTATCACGAAATAATCACTAAGTCTTTTGCGCGTCTTACAGTAATTATTTTATGTAGATTATGTAACTTATGATGGCTACTTAACACAGTGACAAATATCGATTCAACTCACAATAATTTCATTAACCTTAACAGTAAGAAACTGAAATCATAACACAATACTAATATAACATAAAGGCATGTAACAGAGTAGTTGCGGTAAAATTACCCCCCTTCTTTCTATTTTTTCTGACTTCTGCGGCGTAAATCCCAACACAGCGTATTTGCCGGAGTTATTTATCTAGCGAACGAATAAATCAGCTTTTAATGCTTTTAAGCTACTTTCTATACATTACAGTAATGCACAACCTTCTTTAAAGATCATTTTCAAAGGACCGTTTTCAGAAAGAGGTAAAATTTGGCCGGCATGTTTATCTAATTATTTCGTAAAATAAGAAATATGATTTTATATTTTCCACTATGAATCAGATTACACTACCTTACAATATATATCCGACATTGAAACAAAATTAATAAATTTTCATAAACATTTGTTTGAATAGTTACTAAATGTAAACATATTTATTTGGTACAAGAACGATTAATTTAACTATCGTATATTTTTATTGAATAAATATTTATTTACTGTAAATAAAATGTTTCGTTCGTACAACTTGAACAAATATTTATTAAAATTTAATAATTTTTTCGATAAATAAATTTTTTTTTCCCGTCATCTAGTTAAAATATATGATCATGCAAATGTACAATAGTATCGGTTCCCTCAATATTATAATTATGCATTATTTGCGTACATATAGTAAAAGAGAATCAAATTTTGCCAAAATCAATAGAGATTATGTATTTAAATTGACACGATAATCGCTGTTTATCTGCTCACCAGTCCAGAATGTTTAATGTAACACGATTGAACTGCGAATAATTAATTACATAATCAGTCTGTTTGATCGAAGAACAGTGAGGCTAACCACACAATGGCGTTCACTGTTCTCCGGTAATAATACACGCGACATATCCTCGTGATATCACGATCACATAAAGCTTTGTTAACTAAACTCACATGCGGCCCGTGTCTCCGATATATCCGATAGACGAGTCATTCGCTCAGAAATTCCGTCGTGCGGGATTGCGTGGTTATCCTTGTTCTTCGAAGAGAGAAAACGAAACGAAACGAAACGAAACGAAAATGTAATGCGCCGGAGTTGCCGACCATTTGTCGGCTTCTGCCGCGCGTTTAGCATAGAAATCGCGGCTACACGCGCAGCATACGGAAACGTACCTGGCAATGGGAACACCGTAATGTAAGATTATAGGCAGTTACAGGGGGAATGTAGAAACTTGTACGCGACATATTTCTAACGAGACGACGCGCTATGCGCGAGTGCGTGTCTCGATCTCATTGCGTTGCATTGCATTGCATTGCATTGCATCGCATCGATGCGTCCTTTCCAACAAATCTGCCATGCAAATAGAAATAACGATCGTGCCTTTTCGTTTGACTTCTTTAATGTTTAAGTCACAATTTTACCATAAAAATAAGTTATAACTAAACTGTTAGAAATGTAACCACGAGCTTCCTTTACATGTAAATGAAGCTCATGGTTATGAACGAAATTAAAAGTAATGATTTAACTGATACTTAAGTTACAGTAATTATTTAAATGTAATGAATGTGTACATTAAATTTCATAAATTTTCATGAAAAATACATTAAATTTTACGTATATGTAGACAAATATACTTTTTATAAATACATTAAATTTAATGTATTTATAACAGTAATGTATATATTAATACAGTTATAAATACATTAAATTTAATGTAATGTCATGAAATTAAGTTCAAATTGTGTAATTTAAAATTTAATGATATTTAAGAACATTTCTAACAGTGTAATAATGACACTTTAAAATTCAATATCTTAGGTAAAGAAAGGGCATAGGAATTCTAAAAAATATCACAATTTTACAAAGCTAATTTTACATCACGTTCCGTAATGTGAAAATCATTAATTTCGCCCGTTTTCAAACCGAAAGTCCAGATACGTTCCGAGTACGTAGTCCAACTGTTTAACATACAGTTTCCTGAGCAATTCCCGAATTAACTTTTTCCTTTCGATTCTACACGCTTCCGCGGAGCGTGGCGTAATGTTGACCGCAGTTTTAAACCCGTGACGTGGCAGTAAAGAACACTCTTTGTACTTGGTATGCAAACCAAATATGCAAACGAAACGCGCGGACTGAACTGGGTCGTACCCGTTGTATTCGAGACCGAGGTTGATTATAAACGCACGCGACCACACAATGACGAAAGAGCTAAGCTGACTTGGCTTTAATCATCTTCAAGTTGGACAATCGCGATAACGATAAAACGCGCACCAGTCGAATGTTTTGATGGATAAGAGAAAGAGCGTAAAGGGGTAAAGTAAAGATAAAACGTCGGTCAAAATTGTTACGTCATTTATGAAAAACAATAAAAATTGTAATCGTATTCATGAGCGCGCAGGAAAAGAACAGTTTTATTAAAGTATTTAAAAATAATTTTGGGCCGTCAAAATAATTGTGTGCAAAGTAAAAGTAATTATGTACACTCTAAATTTCTTGCAGTGAAATCTCACTTCAAGAAAGTGAAAATACAATCCTTCACTTCTTCAAAAAGAGATAATTTTCACTCTCTTTAGAATATATTTTCACTCTTTTGATGTAAAAATTCAAAGAAATGAATTCTAAAAGAAATGAAAATTGTCACTCTTTTTTAAGAAACGAAATATTTTCACTTTTTTTTCAAGGTTGCATTTTCTTCACTCTCTTAGAATGAGATTTCACTGCAAGAAATTTAGAGAATACACTCTAAAAAATGTGAGGGTGGATTACTAACGTAGTGTCTATATATAACTCTCACCGTGTTGATGTTAATATTAACACGAACAAGATGTAAATTTAAAATTCTTGGTATAAATGTCAACATTACCATGGAATTTGAAACAAATGTTGAATATACACTGTATGTTAGTATTAATATTAAAAGAATATATAGACACCGCACGATATCAAAACCATATCCATATTTTTTTAGAGTGTAAGAAACTCGAGCATTATAGTAAGTAACGCTGCAAAAAATTTTCACATTCTAGCAATCGATTCGAGCGTCCTCAACATACTTGTTTTAACAGTCCAACAAAAATTT